TTTCAATTGTATATGTATAGCGAATTATACATATATATGTTTGCTATGGAGCGCAATTATGCAAACTTTGCTATAGCATACAAATATGATTTTTTTGTTTGCTATATGTGAAAGTTGCTTTTGAATATAACACAACAATTGCTTAGACTAGCATAACAACTTACTAATTTACTGAATAATATTCGACAATTTAGGAAGTTGTTGAAACAAGTTCAAATTGGTTGAGGCAGAAGTAGTGTCAAAATAAATTTTAAGGATATATAAATATAAAAGGGATAATTGTACATAATGGCAAACTTTTAATGCAAAATAAATACAGTAGCTACCGTTTCATTTATTTCCTTTAAGGAGCAAAGTTTCGGTCAGTTTGCTATTTAATGGCCCCACCGAATTGTATAAGTAAAAAAAAAAAATCACGTTATTCTCTTCCTTTTATACAATATCTTCTTCTCGTTTATATCTTTTTTTCCTTCAATTTCTCCCAAATTTTCTCCCCAAAATTAGTTTGAAATTTCAAATCTCCACCAGCATCGCGGTTTCAAAATCCATTCAAAAATTTCAGGTACCGCCAAAACTTATCTCAATCGATTACTTTTAATTTTTGTCTATTTTTTTTTCAATTTTTTCAAGCTATTTTTCACATCAGTTCATAATCCATACAGAGTTTTCCTTCAAACAATGGATGCCCAATCTCCATCTAAAAGATTCACAAGAGGTATACCCTTGCATGTCGAAAATAGTGTTGAGCGCCCATCTTTTTCCTTGGGTTTAACTCAGGATTTTGGGGAGGTTTCAGGTTCAATGTCCAAATCCAACACAATGCAAGAGATCAAATCCAAATTGAAAAATAACCCAATCAGATTGGAGGGAATGAGTGCGAAATTGAAGCAATCCAACATCAAAATTGTGGAGGGAGGTAAGAAAGATCAGTCTGCTGCTGGGTCAAGTAAAAAAAGGAAAGAAAAATCAACTAATTATACAGAAGAGAATGCAAAAAGAAAGAAAGTTGTTGTTTCTGGCTTATTGGAGCATGATGAGGTATTTGTATAATCATTATTTTTGATATGTTACGATTATATATTTTTCTTATATTTTCTGTGTTGATTCATGTCTTATAACTGTTTGTTTATGCAGTTTTATATAGTACTGTATAATCATTATTTTTACATTGTCTTATTGTTGTGTTGATTCATGTCTTATACTGGTTGCTTATAAAATTGTGGTTGTATAAATGTATAATGTTCCCTTAAACATACACATTTGATCACACTTATATAATTTATATCTTCTTATTTTTACAGCACGTAGATGTCATTTTGTATTACATACGCAAAAGAGCCAAGTACTCCGACACCAATGCATTCAGTTTTATCACTGTCGATTGCAATTTCAGTAATCTGATTACCAATGTCTGGGATGCTTATTATAATTTTGAAAGTAATATTAACAAGGAAAGTACAGAGGAGTCGATTATTGAGTATATTAACGGATACAGAATGCATGTTGCTAGACCTTGGCATACAGTTGATAACATCCTCATTCCTGTTAACATCAAGGAGATCTTTCATTGGATTTTGATCGTTGTGTCTATTAATGATAGATCTATACAGATCTATGATTCTCTTAGGGGTGGTGCCCTACACGATTCGTCAGTTGAGAATGAGATCAAGAAATATGCACAACTTGTTCCCATGTATTTATCTAAGTCTGATTTTTATGGGAAGAAAGGCATTGACATATCTTCACACCCAAAGTACAAGTCCCACTCTGAATGTGACTCTTTTGAAATGATTTATGTCAATGATATACCACAACAAGATGCAGGAAGGCTGTAAGTTTTATTATGGTTATTTTTATTCAAATAGATATTGTTAATTTTATACTGATCATAAAATTGGATGTGTTTTATTTTCAGCGATTGTGGACTATATGTTGCTGCTTATGCAGACCATATCAGTAATGGAAATGTGGTTCCAAAATCCTTCGATTCAGAGTTCACACGTATTCAATATGCTTCTTTATTGTGGAACTATGGGGTGCAAAAGATCCAAGCCGATGCCACTAGTGACAGTGAGGCACCAGAAAGGCCAATCAGGATTCATAGGGATTGCGATAGTAGTGAAAAGATCACAATTAATTAGAACAGTACTAAATTTCTGGTTTTTTTTTAATATGCAAATGACATGCATAACAACCTTTACTGTTTTGAACTTCAAGTTTTGAACTTTCAGTTTTTTGATTGTAATATACTCATTTGACCGATTAAGTCTTTTACTTACTTGTTTTTGTTAATTTCATTATATATGCAGTTTAACACTTTAATAATTATACAAACTAAATTATATAATGTATATTTATACATTAACTGTATAAATCTATGTGTATCCTTTATGTTGTGTATATGTATACACTTATTGTTGTGTCAAGTAAAAAAAAAGGAAAGATAAAACTTACATTTATACATATCACAATGATAAACTGAAGTTGTGGTTTGTGGGTCATTGGACTGTATAATCATGTTTTATATTGAGTGTATAAATATACATTTGTTAGGATTATACAATTTGTTCATAAAATTTAATTATACAAATCAACTTATACAATGTTTGTTTATACACTAACAGTATAAATCTAAGAGTACATTTATGTTGAATATATACATCTACATTGTTAGGCTTATATGATGTTCATAAAGTATAAGTATACAAACCACTAAACTAACAACATCTATTTACAGATTAACTGTATAAATGTCGAAAGTTTATACAATCTTTAATTCCCTTAATTCATTATGAATATACATTTTCTGTTTCAAAAAGGGAAAATCAATATAACTAATACAAATAGAATACAATGTTCAATATCCAGCTTATACAAATATAATAAAACGTTCAATTTAACTTATACATATATAATTTCTGTATATGATGTACAATATATACGCCAACAATAATTCATATTATATACAAGAGCATGAATATAAAATGAAGATAAAAAAGATCACAATTAATAGGACATAACAATTTATTCCATCATCAACATTCCAGTCAGAATAACATTCAAGTATCTATAAAATCGAATTTTACACTCAAATATAATCGAAAGAGCTTATTAAACTTCTTGAGGTCTGTTTCTGCATGAACGCCTATTGTGACCTGCAACTCCACATGTGCTACACGTATGCTTCCCTTTGAGACCAAGCAATTCACGTTTTGTTTTTGAACGGGGTTTATTTTTTGGCCTTCCTGGAGGTCTTTTGAATTTTGGAGGCCGGACTTCATCATACATTATGTATTCAGGTATCACCCATTCTGCTACATCAGGCAATGGATAAATTGGTATCTCATAAATCTTCAAAACCGTCTTTGGTTTATACAAATCCGAGCAATATCCATCAGCCACTAGACTTTTTCGCTGTAGTACAGCCCAAGCATGTTCACATGGTATTTTCTTCGTATTGAAACTTTCCACAACTACATGTTTTATTCTTTAAACATACCACAAAACTCCTACCATCATCAGTCACATTGTATATATATTCAGTTGACGGCACAACCTGTTTCATACAAATAGATTTATTTATATTTATAAGTCTATGCAATTGTATATATATTCTATCTGTGTGCATAACTGATTAATTAACATTACATATACATAAAACATACCCTCATTTGTGTGCTCATTGCTTCATTTTCGATCAGTATCTTCTGAAATTTTCCAATCAACGGAGTAAATGTGCAGGCTGCCTCGTGTTTGTTGTCATGATTCCATCTCCCAAACATCAGTCTAACCTCTTCTAGAAAATTAAAAATTGGTAATTCACGTGGAGACACTAATGCAACATTTATACTCTCTGCAATGTTAGACGTCATAGCCCATCCCCGATGAGTTTCTGCATAACACCTTGACCACTTATCATATCCAGCTAGCTCCAAATACTCTTTGACACCTACATCAACCTTTTCTGCAGTATCCATCAACCTATCAAACTCAACTTTACTGCAAGTTTTTGCCATAGTATAAAACACAGGACTTAGCTCCTTTGATGCCTTCCTAAATTTCTTCTCTACATTACACCACAAGTGCCACATACAAGCATAATGTGGCACGTTTTTATACACTTTTGTGACTGCCTTTATGATGCTCTCATTTCTATCGGAGACTACACACATATTACTCCTTTCCCCATAAGCCTCTCTTAGTTGTACAAAAAACCAAGACCAAGATGCGTCATTTTCTGAATCAATATCATTTCTATCGGAGACTACACACATATTACTCTTTTCCCCATAAGCCTCCCTCAGTTGTACAAAAAATCAAGACCAAGCTGCGTCATTTTTCGAATCAATGATACCATAGGCCAGTGGAAAAATAGTACCTACATTTTTATTTACATACAAATTAACATAAAATCAAAAATATACATTCAAAAACACAATGAAACATACATGCTCCGTCCATTGTGCTTGCAGCCACAAATGTTCCATTATACGGTCCTCTTAAGTGACTTCCATCAACAACTATGACAGGCCTGCAATGATCAAAGCCTTGTATACAATTATTCAATGCAACAAAAAGATACAAGAATTCATTTTTTTCTGTTTTCTTTAGACGTATATGCGAGCCTGGATATGTAATATCCATCATATACAAGTATGCTGGAAGTTTGCTGTAAGATGCAGTTGTGGTGCCCCTCAATGAAATCAGAGCCTTTTCTTTAGCCCTCCAAGCCAATGAGTAATTTACATCAACTCCCAAATATATCTTTACATCACTCCTAATATCAGAAGGTGTATATTTTCTCTTGTGATCAACAAACTTAGGCTTAACGATCCCACCAATCAACTTGCTTGTTGCATGTTTTTGTGAATACACTTTATCCTTCAAAGGACAAGTATGATCTGTATTAAATGCTCGGATCCTAAACATTCCAGACTTGCTGATATTTGATGCTTTCATCAACCACTCACATTCATCAGAAATACATTCCAGCGTATAACTACATCAGCAAATACAGCACAACATATCAATATACAAATAACTAAAACACCATATACAGTAATGTATTTGTTTGTATAAACTAGCTACCTGATTGCATTTGACCTCACAGTTCTATATTGAAATCTATTTTCAATTGCATAATTTTGCATCACGGATTTCAAAGTGGCTTTGTTCTTATACACTTGGTCAATCTCCACTTACTTATTACAAGGATCTGAAATGACTCCATCGCAGCTCCCTGACCCCAAGACACAAAGCGGGCTCGTACCAATTCACCAATTGACAGATGCATAGTCTCAAAATCAGCAATACCATCATTACAAATTGATATAACCATATCCTTCTCCTGATTTGAACTTTCACACAGTTCAGTGATATTGCTACTATTATCCATTTTGCTTATACAAATTGGATACTTGTTGAAGTCATCTGCAGACTTTTTAAGCATGATATACACTCTAACACCCATGTCATTGTGAATCAACATTGGGAGGATGGGACGACGTGACGGATTGGAAAGCACTTTTTGCTTTCTTTAACCCTATACTCAAGTTTCAGCTTAATCAAATTTGTATCAAAACTGAGTTGCATTGCAATAACATTATACAACTCCTTATACGATGAACTCTCTTTAAAAATCACCCCCTCAATTGTATAGTCAACGTAACAATTGTCATTGTCCCATCTACCGGAATGCATAACCAAAATAGCTAATGAAGCCATTTTTCAAAATTTCTGTATAAAAGAAAAGTTATATATACATATACATTTATACTATTAAGAATTTCAACAACAAACATAATGTATATTTATACAAATTCTAGCAACTTCAGTTATTCACATATATACATATTCCAATTACATACTCATATAAATGTTTATATACACATTCTGCATATACATTTATATATAAACAATTATATACACAAATTATAACTTTATACACAATTATATAATTTCATACAAGTGTAGTGTTATGATGAAGATAACTGTATAAAACATACACATAATAGTTTCATATATGTATTATACATATCTTACTGAATCATATCTGAAAACCTATACGTATAAACTCTAAGCAAATATACAAATCCAAACACAAATATTACTGTGAAATGAGCGAATCTCCGATCACAAATTCAAAATAATCAACAAGTTCATCTAGAAAATTTCCAGATCACAAATTTCCATATCACAATTTTTTGTAGATTATAAATTAACTATACAAATCATAATTGTTAAACTCTATTTCGAACAAAATATACACCTCTCAATATACATTCAACTTAAATTGATGATAGTTAAAAAGGAAATCTGATTTTGAATACATGTTGAACACCATCTTCGACCTAAAAAAGCAAGCAAAATCAGAGTATGTTTTCGTCATGAAATTACCTCCTATTGCTATCTCTACAGTCCAATGATCTCGATTGTTTGTGTAGTACCGTCAATTGCTTGATCAATTTTCTGAATTGAGTTACAATGGAGTTCTTACTGTTGAAGACGACGAAGAAGGAAGGGAATTCGAATGGAACAGAACGTGCGTGACTTCAGTGATTTTTTTCCTTTTTTTTCTAACCGAAATTAATGCCCTTTTCTTTTTTAAACTATCAAAATGTATAAAAAAAATAAAAATTGACAAGCGAATATACAGAAAGAAAAGTCCATAGCAAACTATAATTTTGCTACGGACTGCAATTTTACCAAGTTTGCTATAGCATACAATTAGCAATTTTTTATTTGCTATATGTAAAATTTTCTCAATATAAAATAAGGCTTACAGAGCCAGTAAGGGAATTAAACAAATCATCAATTCTAACTAAATTATTTTTCTTTGTATCAAGCCATCTAAATTGATAATAATAATAATAATAATAATAATAATAATAATAATAATAATAATAATAATAATAATAATAATAATAATAATAATAATAATAATAATAATAATAATAATAATAATAATAATAATAATAATAATAATAATAATAATAATAATAATAATAATAATAATAATAATAATAATAATAATAATAATAATAATAATAATAATAATAATAATAATAATAATAATAATAATAATAATGTGATGCTTTCAACTTTTAATAATAATAATAATAATAATAAATACAAATAATAACATGTATATATTCATACATATTTTATCATTACATTTTATCGTTATAAAACATATTTTGTCTGAATCACTCTATATACAATTTTTAAAATGTTCTTCATCTATTTGCGCAACACTGTTATTTATCATATCTTTATGAAAATACATTTTAATCATTTTATTAATAACATAAAGTTTGTATAGCGTTGCGATTTTTTTCATTGATACTACAATTATTAGATGTATAAAGAGTCAAATACATGCATAATATAAGTTATAATATGAGTTTGGTGCAATATAAGTTCTTAGTTGTTAACCTGTTATATATATATATATATTGTATTTTATATATAAAAAAATTGATATTACTTTTTTTAATATTTTATATATTTACACACTAAATAATCTTTAAACAAATTCAATCAAATATAGATGGTTGTTTAATAAGGGGTAGAATGACAATGCAAATTGGCATGATTTAAGGCATTGCCATTTTAAAAAACGAATTCTGCCATTTTTAATGCCATCTAAATTTGGATTGTATCCTAATATAAAAACAAACAATCTTTGAATACATAAAATACAATAATTTTACCATAATAATTATAGCTGCACAAAGTAATTATGATAATTATAGCTAGAGAAATATGATAACACCTAAATTATAGTCATTTATGTAAATTTCTCTTTTTAAATTGGAAACCTTTTTGTTACCTCTCACTGAATTTTCTCTCTAGTAACATCTTAAATCATCATGTTGTTAATTCTTTAACTAATCATAATTAGTGTCAGAGCCAGAAATTCTTACGAGATGTGTAACACAGGATTAAAATAAGTGATCTAAAGTAATTTTTTAATTGCCTTTTGCCCCTAAGTAATTTATTTATTTTTGCTTGTCAAGGATATTTAATTGTTCATATATATCAGAAAAATATAGTTTTTTCCTTGTATGGATGGTCCAGAATTCAATTGAAACTCATTGCCTCTCTTTTATATATTTGTGTAATTCTTCTTAATTACATGGCCTATAAATGGAAGCGTTGTAACTTCCGGTACACTGGAGTTTTAAAAGGGGAGAAAAAGGTTTAACTACTGAACCTTTTACATCACTTACAAAATTATACTAATATGTTAATTCGACTTCTTCTTCTTCTTTGGCATCCTCTGTAACTTCCTCCACTTCAAATATATCTGGAATGACAATCCTGAGAAGACCATGATGACGCTTGTCCATTGCTTTGTGGACAATGGGTTGCCACTTAACACAGATGACACGACTATGCTAACAAACTTGCGCGTTGTGGTGATGGTTGTGTTAGTCAGTGAACCAAATCGGCTAATGGTTAGAAAAATGAAGTTCTGGCCAACAGCACCACATAGACAGTACATAAGAATGTCCCACGCTGCTTCTGGGTGCTGCTTACAGAATTGAACCGCCTCAAATCCGCTGGCATTTGACCAGCCAAACATGAAGATCATATTGTAAATGGTACCCCATAAATTCATTCCTAACATAATATCCCAAGCAGATGTCTTAGGGTACCTGGCAAAATAGAAAAACTTTGTTAGTAACTACAAGTAATCGATTGAAGTTCTATCTAAACCATACATTTGGCACACATACCTAGCAAATTCAAGGAGAAAAATGTATATTAAACAATGTGTTCTTTTGATTAGCACAATATTTTGGTTAAATCCCTCATAAGATAGCAATACTCATGCAATTTCTTCTATTCTTGATCCTAAAACTCTATAGGAGTTCTCATAGTTCTTAACCTAGACGTGTCTCTTTTGACATGAAGCAACCCAATGTGTCAATTCCCAATCAGAAGTTTAGCTTATGGTGTAAGCCAAAAATCTTAAACAAAGTTGAACTACAAGTATATAAAACACCAAAATGTTAGTGCTCATGGAGTGCAGTGACCTAAAATGTCCGAGTCTCATGAATTCTTCCCTCTTTGTTTTCCATTACATCATAAAATGACTTATAAACTTAATGACCACCCCCTATTGGTTGTTCGTGGATTCAATAATCAAGAAATCTATCCATGACTTCTTGCACTAAATTCTCCTGACACATTACTAATCCTCCAAGTGTAGATCTGCATATTATTAACAGATCAGTAAGGAGTCACAGATAACAAAATTACCTTGCGT